GATAGATAGATAGATAGATAGATAGATAGATAGATAGATAGATAGATAGTGATAGAAGAGATAAAGAGATGGGGGCAAATGCTGTCTTAGCAGGTAAATATATACTTGTTCACAAACTTCACTGCCCAAATTTGATCCCTGAAAACCCACTCAGTAGAAGGAGACAAACAACTCCCACAAGTCATCCTCTTACTTCCAGACATGCGACACTAGCTCCAGGGTAAACTGATGCCCCTGACCTCCTTGGAATCCATTATCACTTGTTCATACCCACATACAGTCAAACACACACACACACACACACACACACACACACACACGCACACACACACACACACACAGAAACGCACATAATTTTAAAAATAATTCTTTTTTTTTAAATGACTTTTAAACTGGGCATGGTAATACACACCTGTGATCAGGAAACTGAGACAGGGGGTTAACTCTGAGTTTAAAACCAGACTGAGCTCCATAGTGAGGTCCCATCTCAAAGAATACCTCAGAGTTAGGGGAAGGTGACTTCAGATGTGAAATGCCCACAAGCGACCCCATAGGCTCCTGTGTTTGAGCATGAGTTCCCCAGCAGGGGGAGCTGTTTTAGAAGGTAATAGACCATCTAGTGGATGGGTCTGAGCTGGAGGAAGTAGACCACTGGAGGGGGTGGGCCTTAGGACGCCTATCACAGTCTCACTTCTGTCCTGACCTGTTTATTGACCCAATAAGATGTAAACAAGTAGCCACGGGCTCCCACCATTCCACCCCTGAGCAGCTATGAACTCTGCCCTAATGGATCAGATCTTCTCAACCCATGAGCCAAATAAATCCTTCCATGGCTTCTTTTTGGCACTTTGTTACAGCAATGAAAAAAGAAACACATCCAGCAGGGGCATAAAAATGAAGAAACTGACTTAGACTGTAAAACAAGGCATCAGTGGACTCAATACCAGTTCCAGAGAGCTACGTTGGCCCAATGCCATACCTCCCTCTCCCATGCTGTGTTTGGATTTGGAATGTCATCAAAGGTCACCGTTTGAAGGATTGGGGCACAGTCAGAAGGTCCTGGGAGTTTTAGGAAGTGGGCCCTAATGGGAGGAAGTTAGATCATTGGGGTGTGCCTTTGAGGGGAATGGTTGACTTACTCTCCCTCTCCCTTTCGTTCTCCCTCTTGCTTCCCACCCCTGGCCTGATCACCCCAAAGCGGGCATCTTTGCTTCCCACACGCTTGCCACCATGAGTTTCTGCCCTGCCACAAGTCAGAAACAAGGCCTGAAAGCCTTGAGTTATAAAAGCCCTGTCCCCTTATAAGTTGATTTTCTTGGTCACTTTGCCACACAACAACAGAAAGCTGACAGATATTGAGGCAGGTTATGGTGTTCTAGGGGACCAGGAAAGTGGAGACATGTCATAGAGACAACATGGGCAGCTCCTCTCTGTTCTTAGGGTGTCTTAGTTTCTTCTCCAGAGAGTAGGGTATGTTCTTCATCGGGGACCAAGAAAAGTCAGGCTGGTGACTGGCTGTCTGTGGTAGCAAGGGCTTGCATCAATGGTGGGGGAGAATTGTCTGTATTCCGTCAATCATGTTTTAAATAAACGCTGATTGGCCAGGCAGGAGGTGTAGGTGGGAAACCCAGACAGGAAGTGGAAATGATGCAAGGAGAGCAGGAGAATTCTGGGAAGGAGGAAGCTGATTCCTCCCACTCCTGCCCAGATCACTGAAGCAGTAGGATGTGAGCTGCCCCACTGAAAAAGGTACTGAGCCAAATGGCTAACACAGATTAGAAAAATGGGTTAATCAAGATGTGAGAGTTAGCCAGTAAGAAGCCTGACCTAATGGGCCAATCAGCTTTATAACTTATAGAGATTTCTGTGTGATTTTTCTCTGGGACTAAACAGCTGGGGGAGCTGGACAGGACATAACCCCCCCCCCCCCCAACAAACAGGCCTCCTCATGTTACACATTGAGAAATTAACAGCCTTTTCTCAGAGGTTCCACTTCTGTCCTGTAGTCAGGGATGCCGGGATGGAAGTGAGGCCGGTCAAGCTGGGGTTGTTCTCTGAAGGTCACAGGAGTGACCTGAGGCAGTCAGCGCTCACTGGGAGTCACACATCCTTCTCATTCCCCTGAAACCCTCACCAGAGCGACTGAGGTCACAGCCAGACCCCTGAGGTCACAGCCAGCCTCCCACCACTGCAGCGCTGTGCCCCAGAAACAGGGTGGTGTATGGCAGAATGGAGGGAAGTGACTCGCGGCAAAGAACTCAGAATCAGAGGATGAGGGGGACAGAAGGGGATGGCAAGAGCCTCTCAGAGCAACCGCGCAGTCCCAGAAGTTGATACCACGATCTCGAGCCTTTGTAGACAAGTGACCCTCATCTTCATGCAGTGACTTAAGATTTTATTTCACCCTCCCTCGTGCCCCCTCCCTCCCTTCCTCCATCCCTCTATTTTTCCCTCTCTGGGGATAGGAGGAAGCTTGTTGAGGACAGGGACGAGGTTCCCAGAAGGAACTAGTGTGACCAGAGCCAAGAGACCTGGTGAGTGAGGGAGGATGGGTAAATGGGCTAGGCTGGAACTGCTGGGCAGGAGCAGGGGCTCTCAGATTCATTGTCTTGGCCAGCAAGAGCAGCTTCATCATTTACCCTGAGATCAAAGAGAAAGCGCGGAGGGCATTAAGCAAGAACTGTCTTGCCTACATCCCCGCCCATGCCGCAGGCTGCAGGTGGAATGCCTGCATAAGGGGTTCACGGGTTCAGGTTAGCCAAGCTGGTCAGGAAATCTGGGAGGGAGGGAGGTCAGGAACGGGGATCTTGGTATTAGTGGTTAAGAAAGGTGGCCCCATGCCCAGGATAAAGTGGCTTGTCTGGCATCACACAGCAGTGAGTTCAGTCTCAGTTCAACTGTCTCAAGTCTGTGTGCTGCTACACCGCAGCTCTGTCTACAGGCCTGTACTCAGGCAATGTGGGGAGGGGTGGCAGGGGGTGGCGGGGGGTGGATACTAGAATTTTCCAAGGAAGGGAGGAGGGTGGGAAGAAAGAAGGGGAGAAGGAGGAAGAGAATGAGGGAGAAGAGGAGGAAGGGGAGCAGGAAAAAGAGGAACAGGGAGAGACTAAGAGGAGAGTGAAGCAGGACACTGCGCATAAGGCCCTCAGCACTCTGCTGACATGAATGGTCACTGGGTGGCCTTAGGGACCATCTATGTTCCCACATGCAGATACTCATTGATTGGGCCACCTAGTCAGAGTTGAATTTCAATAGCAGAATTATTTGCTAGGTCCTCTTGCCCGACTCTGCCTTCAAAAGCCTCCCCCTCTATCTGACATTCCCAACAATGATTTTATTTGGTTTCCTGGCTCAATCTTCTCTCTAGACCTTTGACCCCAAGTTAGTATCTCCAATCCTGATCTTCGCCCTAACTCTAGAATTGTCCATCTGCCTGCTTCCTGGACCCCTTTGGCTGTCTTGGGGGCATTTCAAAGTGAACATAACCACCTCACCTTCTTCCCACATGCTCACCGCAAGCCTACATTCTCCATCTCACTCCTCTCAATTCAAGGCCCTTCCTCTGACCCTGCACGGTCTCCCACCAGCTATATCTTCTGTAGTCAGGAATAGAGAAGTGATGAACAATGGCCACCAGTCACCTGCTGTTGGATCTTGGTCTGTGACTCCCAGGAGTGTGCACTTGTCAATCAATGGGACACTGCAGATGAGATAAAGATGGGGAAGCTGGGACAGGGTATCGTCCTAGTCATCTAGATAGTGCCATGGGACAGAGGACTGTGGCAGAGGCAGGAGAGAGAGAGAGACAGGGAGGGAGGGAGGGAGGGGAGGGGAGGGGAGGGAGGGAGGGAGGGAGGGAGGGCGGGAGGGGGGGAGGGAGGGAGGGAGGAAGACTATAAGTCAACAGATACAAATGACACCAGAACTTGGGGAAGTAAGGAAACGAGCGCTCCCCCATCCCAGCCTCCTGAAGGAACACTACCCTTCTTTGGTTTCGCCCCGCACGCCCAAGATCCTTGTTAGACTTCTAGCCTACAACCCATAGGCTACAGTATATATGTGCCATATATGTGTCTTTAGAGCCACAGAACGTGTAAGCTGTGACTGTAGGGGCAGAAATCCAGTGGCTCTCTCATTGCCTTTGCCTCTCACACAGTCTGTGCTCTCCGCAGGGTGCCTCTTAGTCCTGGGATCCTGTCTCCGTTCAGCAGACAACATGACCCTCATAAAGTGTTATAACACATCACGTGGCTTTGGCATGTAAAACCTCCCAGTCACACCCACTTCCTTGGAGTAACACCATAATCTGAAAAGACCTTCAGTTCAGGTCTGCACACATCCCTTCTGGGCTCTTCTCCTCTGGGCTCCCATGGGTGTCTTTGTGCTCCTTAAGGAATTCAGGCCTGCTGACACCTTCAGGTGTCCTTCCTGCTGTTTCTTTTTCTGGAACTCTGCTGCCATTGGCCACTGAGCACTCAACCTGAGCTCCCATACCCGGCCCCATCTCAAATTAAAGAAGTTCCATTTTCCTTGGTAGATCTTGCCCAGGTCCCTCTTGGATTCCTAGCCTTTATCAGTAACTTAGAGGATTTTTTTCAGTTTTGTTTTCCTTCAAGTGGCGGTTGATGGGAAGGGTGTTTGTGGGCTCCATAGGATCTGCTGACTCTTACTCTGTGCCAGACTGTATTGGTGGTTTAGGCTCTAGTAGCGCTTGGTATTTTACCTGTTTTTCTCTTGGATGGATGGATGGATGGATGAATAGATGGATGGATGGATGGATGGATGGATGGATGGATGGATGGATGGATGG